ACAAAGCTGACAGAAACAAAAACAACTGAATGGACCTTACATTAACCTTATGTAGTATTCAGTCATAAGTGGCCCTCAAACCAACAACAGTTGTGTGATAAACATATAAATATGAATGTGAACATATTCACTGACAGTCAAAAGATGATTTGAAATACCCGGATAAGCCTGTGCTATTAGTTGAAGCGGTTGTTATCTGGGAATAACATACCTTAGAATGTTGCGACTGACATTCAGAATCAAGTATTCCAGAGAGATTTGTTAATCTATGGCTGTTCATCATTTTAAGTGGGTTGATTCAATTTTCATTTGCAAGAGCTCAATTTTTATGGATTATCAATTATTTGAAAGTTTTTTTTTTTTAATATGATATTTTTATTTCTAAGAATTTACATGAACAATTGAATGACAGTAAATGGAGAATTGATGAAAATAATTAAAGAGGCATGGACCTGTACATTAAGCTTTTGTTATCATTATAAATCTTTCTTTATTTCAGCTAACATGGCTACATTAAAACAGAACATGCCTATCTACATTTTAAATAAATTCTCATGGTTTCCGCTACATTCATTCTTCCTTGGCGGGGCGCCACATCAAAATTCATGGCTACATTACAGCTTCTCATTCAACACCTTCAGTTGTTGCTGCTTTTTCAAAGCGGGTTACAATCGAACCAAAACATTAAAATGTAAGTGAATTATAACGGAGCGAGCTTATCTGTAATCATAGTAGTGCTGTGCGTTATTAGTTTAACCCTATAAGGTTACATGCTGACTGACTAACCGGGCTGTGTGATTTCTGAGGCTAGCAAACACGATGTAGCTTTCAGTTATGATGAACATCGTTTCCATATACTTTATTAATAGATGAAGGTCTATGGCTCTGCATACAATGACTTTTACTTGCTGGAGTTTATGGCAGTTTCACTTTACTTCAGGAGGCATCAATGCCGTTCTGTAGGTCTATTGGACACATTCATATATATTCTTAGCCGATCTAATAAATGTTGGGGACATACTTGTTGAATAAATGCTTTAAATTCCACTTCAGCAGCGTTTATTTGAGAGTGCACAAGAAAATCTGTGCTTGAGCAGCGTTTTGAGGGCATGCAAGAAGTTTGGTGCATGAACAGAGGAAATCAGCGCGCAAGCGAAGAGATTTGCATGCTCGTATTACATGAATGCGATCTCGAGTTGTAATATTGTGCTCACGCCATTTTCATTGAAATAACACCATAGGCAGGGATGGGCAGTATTTATGATACAATTATTTCAAATATGTATTTCAAACACAAAATAGTATTTTGTCATTTGTATTTTTGAGGTTTATAAAAACAGGTTAGTATTTTGTGTCAGAATACTTTAGTGTGTTGTATTTGTGTATTTTTTTAAATTACTGTAAAACACAATGTAAGAAAAATGCGACCTCTAATTGATTGGCTTTGTCCCCATTTGCTAGGCTTGAGATCAGAATAGAAAATTGATTAATATTGAAGAAGGGTGTCAATGCCTTGATTTATGAATGGAAATTATGCAACAACAAAAACACCTAAAGATGGTGTACTGGTGTTCGCTTAGGGGGTGGAAACGCAAAAAAGAGAGATAGTACTATGTGCCAACTCATTATCTGCTTTACATGTTTTTTCAATCATTAAAGAGATCATCTTCAAGACAGGACTCTCTGTATGAAATTTTTACAAAATTTATTGTAAAAATATGCCCACTGACCTAGTCTGTACACAAACCAGTGACCTTCTTGTTCAAAGAGAAACAAAGGTTTATGAATACCTACTCAGGTGTTTTGTTTCATAAGAGTAGAGGTTTACGATGTGCGGACAAGCTTTAATTTGCTCAGAGAAACATTGCTGCTGTCAAACATTGTTTACTTAAGTCAGTTTAATGGTGAAGAGATTGATCGAACATGCTTATTGATGGAAGGTTTGCAAATAAATTTCATGCTCCCTTGTAAAAGTATTTTGTAGTATTTTAAAATACAGTATTTTATTTTGATGCTTGTTGTGGCTGCTGTATTTTGTTGTTTTTTTTTATACATGCAAAATGGAGATATTTGGTATTTTATTTTAAAATGCATTTCAATGTATTTTTGCCCATCCCGGGCCATAGGTAGTTGAAAGATTTGTGTAAAAGGCCACAGCTGGAAAAAATCCTAGATGAAACGCTGTCTCATCTTTTGAGAACTGATTTGAATTGATAATTATTATAGGTGGGCATAGATTAATTATTTTATTCTAGATTTATCTAGATTAATCTCTGAATTAATAAGATTAATCTAGATTAAAATGGCTCATTTGAATTCTGCCGAAGGCATTCAGAATCTGTGTGGTACCCAAATAATAAGTCTTTAAGAATAGGTTTTTCAAGCCAGGTGGCGCATTAGACCAGGGGCTCATCTCCTGTTCCCAAAATGCATCATAAACTGCTTGAGAATCTGTTCTACTATAATAATTGGTGATAAAAATAAATGATGTTCAATAAGATGTACTTGTGTTTACCAACTGTTATTCAGTTAAACATGAATTTTGAAACTGTAGGCCTACATAAGCTCAAAACAGTGAATTATATATTTATTTATTTTTTGAAGACCTTAATCTGACTAAAGTCATAACTGGACTAAACAGAAATGGAATTAAGACATGTGGAGTATGCTTATATTAGTGGCATTATAGAAATAAACACCGCAATCAGTAAACACCGTCATGTAGGACTTTTCGCCATATTTTCCGACAAGATCCACACATACGGCTGTCAGTAAAGGACCACATACACACACACACACACACATACACACAAACACACACACACACACTGTGAAAAACATTTTTTCTCTATTTGCTGTGCGTTATTAAATTCCAAAACACCTCTCACCAGTCCTTACTCCTTTTTTGCGTCCAGTACCCCAGTTTGTCATTGGGCATGAATGAAATGTTCATGAGTCGAAGTAAAACTGCCGAACTGCTGCTTAAGTCAGGCATCCTGCTGATTGAATCAGAAGAGCACTTTTTTGTCAGACAGCTCACCGGTCAGGTATACATCCACGCTAAAATAGTCATCATAGCTTGCGTAGAATATACCCATCTCCAACCCAACTTTGAGAATAGATTAACGGATATATATATATATATATATATATATATATATATATATATATATATATATATATATATATATATATATATATATATATATATATATCGCAGCAATAACGCCGATAACAGCCCACCACTAATACTTATACTGAGATTACATTAATTTAAGATTACGTTAGGGTTTTAAATAACCCTATTTATTAATGCAATTTTTATTTTATTACATTTTTTCATTTATGTTAAAAACTTGGCTATTGCATAATTACAGTGCTCAGCATAAATACGTACAACCTCACAAACCTATCTTTTAAATTAATAATTAATAGGAAGCTATACAATATAATATTTGTGCATATATATTAGTCAGTACTGAAGGCAAATATGGAGCTTATCTAACAAAATAACTTATGATAAATTTCCAAAAAACTAGTACACTCTTATTTATATGTTCTAAAATAATATTAAATACAAAAAAAAGAGGAGAAATCATTATTTAGTTAAAATTTTGTATGTTGTAATTATTTTTTTTAAATATTTAGCTTAAATTTATATGTATTGTCTTTCAATTTCTAAATATGTTTGATTACTAAAATATTATTTTAATATATTTGTTTAATAAATCTGTTTCGTTTAAATGCACCAAAATACATTGCCTATATTCACTGAGAATTTGATAAAAAAAAATATTCATTTTCAAAATGGAGTGTACTCAATTATACTGAGCACTGTATTTTGGGCAACGTTGGCAAGGAAAATACCAACCTGCCCTTCTGACCCCTCTGGACCAGCAGACAAATCCCTTATTGTTGAGCTCTTGTCAGAGTTTACCTAACATGAGTGAGCAAAAAAAAAGTCGTTTTTTTTTTGTTTTGTTTTTATGTGCTACTGCTATAGGAAACATTTCTGAATGTAAAGCCATTGACGAAATGTCAGTTTTGCCATCTGAATTGTGGTGTAGATATGAAGCAGCACAATGCGAGTCGCGAAGATCCACCAAAAGCTCTTTGAGGATTACTGGCCGTGGTTTGCTGATGTTTAGATGTCAGACGTTGCTAAGAGGCGCTGGAAACTGATTGGCCATTCGGAAGAGCAGCAGTATCATGGATGCTCATGCTTGAGTGGCAGAAGGCCTGGATTATTTTAGGGTCTGACCTTTCAGATTGGCACCAGGATTATGACGGTTTAGTCAGTGAGACACTATTGAGATTACAGCACGTGTTAGCGGTCAGCCTGCTATACTCTCTGGGTCTTGGCTTCAGGAGCTGTGATTATATTTTCACTCCTCGCATCAAACCATCTCGCAACTAAGAGCTTAATCCCCTCGGACCAAATCCGCAGGCAATCTGCCGGATGAATAAAGACACTTGGATGTTGTCTGTCTAGTATCTGTTGCGCTTGTCTGGGTATGTGGTCATGTGAGTTGTGCTTGGCTGGATAGATTGATATATTCATATGAATCTGTGGTTCAGAATTAAATTATTTTTTGTTTCTAGAAAGAGTTTGTTTGTTTTGTGAATGTAATAGCCAGGCTTATCAGCCTGTGTCACATTAATGGCCTGAGCTTCAAATCTCTGCTTGATGTGTGAGTCTGAAAGCAGTGACTCATTTCCTCCCTCGATATAGAGGCTGCACACACATTTATGAGCGGCCTGTAATTAAAGTGGCAGTCGGGTTATCACAGTTTTGATAAAACACACACACACGCTTTTATAACTTAGTATTTTTCTAATTAAATTAGTAGTATAGTAGTATACTTTTCTATTTTAATTAAGCTTTTACTCGGTATGTAGTAAAAATAAATGATTTTTTAAATAATTACATTCCTGTGTGAACAATATAATGTGAATGTTGTTGCGTAGTTTTAATAATAAACTCTGTTTTTCACCTACAGGGGATCATTGTGCGAATGAGTGAGTGATGCAGGTTTCGTTTCTCCAGGTGAGTCTCCTTTTCTCTTTCATCAAAGCCATGTGTACTTGGCTATAACAACAACCCAAATATGAAAGCTCAATAGCTAGTCAATGTTCAGTCAATAGTAGAACTGTGCCATTAATTGAAATCATATCAAAATGACGATTTGGACATATTTGATTTTTATATCGCTTTAAGCACTGTTTTCCCGCAGTATGGTATTTGAACCAATCATAACGCTGCGTGCCTAAACAGAGCGCTAGAACAGGAAACTGAATAGTGTGCGTATACAGGAATGATGAGTTCAGCACAGGAGGGAAAAGTCAACATCTGTGATGTTAGTTTATGTTACTTTGGGTACAGGAAGGCTGATGTATGGCAGAACCAGGTAACTTGTAAGTCAGTCATATATTGCGTCTAAAAGCATGTGGAAAACATGAGTATGTCGCTTCCTTCAGCATTTTCAACGTGCTTTGTGGTCGCTCTTTTGTCGTTGTTCGGTGACCAACAATCGTTTTCTCAGAGGATGACAACCCAACAAAACATTAGCCGCGTTTCCACTGTTGCGCCAAAAGTGAGCGAGCCAGGGCAAGTCGCGTTTCCATAGTCACTTCCGGGACCTGACCGGGCCAAATCTGAGCTTTCTCGGGATCAGAGGGCGATCTTTTTTTGTCCCGCTGATTATCTTGGGCCAAAGTGAGCCAGCTGGGGCTTCGGGGTTGAGTGAAAGCAGAGGCGGAGTTTGCAGGATGGTGTGCCGCTGTCATTACACTAGTTTTCCCATGACACACAAGTTCATGTGCCAAAATTAAACAAATAAGGGAGAAAAAAAAACATGGCTACCGGTCAGTTTAAGATTCCATAAAACACCTTATAGACTAGGGGTCTTTTGCTTGAGATTTGAATTTAAGGCTGTTGCATGAAATAATAATTAAAGTAGTTTTTTATTTAATAAGTGATATTTCTTTGCTGTGTCCTTCTTGATGTTTTAATAACACATAATAATCTTTACAACATATTAAAGACACAACCGCCAGTAACTGTCAGTTGTCGAGAGTTTTTGTCAAGTTTAAAAGGTGTGTTTGTGCATGCAACATGCGCTTTTAGATGCATGTATTTGTGTGCGAGAGTCACAGCGCTGTCGTTGTCGTGACCGGCTTTTTTTCTTCTTTATTTTTTTTAGAGATGATACAAAATATGAATTCAACAGAAAGACTTTTGTAGTGTCATAGATCTGGATAAAATAAGCTATAGGCTACTGAAATCATTTCAAGAATTAAATAAAGGATATAATAAAAACTATTTAATTAAATGAACCAATATAAAACAAACAAAGCTATAAGATTTTTGGTCTATACAATATAAATAAACCGTTTTAAGCCATATTAAACTTTCATATACAAATCTGAAAAAAAGATTTTAGATATTTTCTAAAAACAATAAACAACAGAGTTTTGAAATATTATTTGTAAAGTGTTTGGATTCGATGATATTAAATCATGCAAACAGAGCATTTTTGGGTGAGCAAAACTATCAGAAACTACCTTTCAATTTCTTTCTGTCATCCAGTCCTGCATAGCTTTATAACGTAAAAAAGTAAAAACTGATGCGGATTTTGGAAAGCTGCTATACTCGAGCGCAGTGGTATAGGCTAAGCCTAGATTTTATTACTTGCTCTAATGTTCTGAAACACTTACGGTTTCCTTTACTTCAGATTACCATATAATGTGCAACATCCTTAAATTATTCTCTTAAAAAAACGGGAAAATACCCATTAAGTGTAATATAGCCTAGGGAAATAATAATATGTTTTAGGTCTCTCTGGAGCATTTAGGCTGAATGTTTAAATCAAGGGCTGGACTTGAATTTGTCTATTCGTTATTGTTTAAACCACTGGATTGTTTTTTTTTTTTTTTTTTTTGCATTGCTACATGCCATCAAAAAATGTCAGAAATGTGGTTAAAAAGGGTGGTGACATTACTTTGATTGAAGATTACACTTTACAAATATATATATAAACCGTGTATAATTCATAGTACAGTAATATTCAATTTTAACAATACAGGTAAAATATTCATTGTCTAATTTGATGACTTTTAAGCACTGCTTTTAAATGGTGCTTATTTGTAAGACTGAAGTCATAGTTTGCTGCTGGTTTGTGTGTTTTTCAGGGCAGTATGGGTGTGTGTCCCCTGCTCCTGCTCCTGCTCCTGCATGTGGCCTTTGTGGCCCTCAGCACGGCCCAGACTCTCCCTCACCTTTCAGGTAAGACACTTTTGCTTTGGTTTAGGCCCTTCCTCATTGCAAAAGCAAACTCACTGCCCTTAGGGTGTGTTCACACATGTAGTTTGGTTTTTTTGTTCGTTGCAGAAAGGAACATGATAGGATTTTGGATTCACGCTCGTTTTTGTTAGACTTATTGAATGGTCATACATTTAGCATTTTTACAGGTGGTTTTAAAATGTGTAAATTAGTCAGAACCGTAGCAGGAAGTCAGTCTCACACATTAAGACCTTAGGTACTGAGCCTGGTGTGCTTAAGGATTTTATCCATTCTTGGTCACATCTTATGACATCCTATCCTGTTTTTGGTTTGTTTGGATGTCATTGGTCTGTGTTGTTTTTTTGTTTTTTTTTAGTCATACTACATCAGTGTCCTTGTGGAAATCTCATGAGATGCGTAATTTTAACAGTCTCAGTACATTTGTTTGGTACACGTGGCATCTTTCATGCTTATTCAAATGAACCTCATTAACAGAGCAATTGCACCCGAGTTTGTTTTTATCAAACAAAATCCATGTTGAAAGAAACGTTTGCAATCCATCAACTCCATCTAAAAATGTCAAATATTTTGAGGCCTAGGAAGTTAGTCAAGAATTGCCTGGAGGACACAACATTTCCTCACACATCTAATTTTGTTTTGTGAGATACCCAGTGTCCACCTTTATTTGCATTGAAAATTCTGTTCAACCTAAAGTACCATTTAAAAATGTGTAATGGATGAAGGACTGCTCATACCTTTCGATACCGAACACCTCATGACTTAAAGGGCGCCAATGTGATCGTGCACACCAAGTGTCATTAGGAGTGGAGAGTAGCAAATTGGATTTGAGGGTGAATTGGACCCTCTCCGCTGTCGCCACTGCCACGCATGGTTCAGGATTGGTAGAGCTACGCATCGATGAATTTGCTCTTCAGTGTTTGAACTCTCAGTAATGATTAAATCACACTGAACTGAGCTAAACTGAACTGAACTGAACTTAAACACTAAAACCTGGACCACACTGTTCCAGTTACTATGACCATTTATGTGAAGCTGCTTTGACACAATCTACATTGTAAAAGCGCTATACAAATAAAGCTGAATTGAATTGAATTGAATTGAGTTTTATTTTACTTTCATTTCATGACTTACAAGTTTATTAAGTGCCGTATATCGCGATCTCGAATCGACCCCCTAGACCCCCTTAATCCAGCATTTCTATGATTCTGCCTATCATATTTTCAAGTTCCGGAGAGAAGAAAAGGTGGCCGCACGAGTCTTTTCATTGTTACACACACGTTGCTCAGTGACATTGACACCTCCAAATGATATTGAATGAATCAGATACTGTATTTATATGGTATAATTCATAGAGGTATTTATACCCCAGTGTCTAATGATATTTCAGAAATCATTCTAATGGCTCATTTCTTCTGAGTACTATTCTGAGTGCGATTCGGTTCACCTTTATTGGGCTTGCGTTTCCACTGCCTAAAGGGTACAGTACCAATGGCGCTTTTAGAAGGCCTTATAAACAACAACGAGACACAGGGTAGATCCTGCTCTTCTTGGCATAGTGGCTGTTCATCAAGACAACAACTAAGTTTGTTTAAACTCAGGTCGACCATGGCTCGTTATTATATGTATATATTATTATGGTGTAATGTCTTGGCTGTGTATTTAAGAATGGCACTTCCTTTGTTTTCATTCTCCTGGCTTGTACATGAGCTAGTGACGTACCTCTGTAAACCAATACTGATCTGCTGCGTGTCTTGCTACGCCTTTTGGTACCCTTTTGTTGTGTTAGTTACCCTTCAAAAGGGTACCAAAAAAGTGGTATGGTACGCTTTTTGGTACCTTTTGACAGTGGAAACGGCCATCAAAGCATACCGAATATGCTGATTTGGTCCTCAAGAAAACATAAAACTTTTCTATTAATTAAGCTACATTTATGTAGGATTCTAGGAATTTCAAATAACCAGCATTGCCATTTAAATCTGTTTAAATATTGTAAATACAGTTATTTTTAAAACATTTTAGTTTTAAATTTGTTGATGCTTTTTGTCTTGTGCATTTTAGCGTTAGTTGTCTTAAGTTTTAAGCAAACAAGCAATTGATAGTAAAGAATAAACCATTCTTGATATTGCTATTTGTGAAAAAAATGATCAGATTCCCATTAATGAAGGCTGTTTACTTCATGAATTTATTGTATTACATGTATATATTCTAAAGCTTAATCTCAATCTTAGGTGCGGTCCAGACCACCAAACCTACACCCCATCCTCCCACGACACCCCTAATCATAGTCACCAATGGATCCCCAACAGCCGCTCCAACATCCACACCGTCCCCACAACTTATTGCAACAAAAGCCTTCAATGACTCTGAGGGTACTGCGGCCCCAGAGGCTACCACTGCTCCTCCAGTCGTCCCTCCTCCAGTTGTGCCCATCCCTACTGTGGTGCTACCTGTACCGCCAACCCCAACTGCCGCATCCCCGTCTCTCACCACCAACCAAACTGGAGATCACCAGACCACCGTTTTGGCTCCAGCAGGGACGCCAACGCCTGATCCCACATCCACCCAGTCCTCCTCAGAGCCCGAGACGGAGACCCCGTATACCCCAGCTGATGCCACCACTGCTGACGTCAACAAGCCAGAAGGTACCATTCATCTGTTCTTTTCTTTTTACCATTTAAATGATTGATCGTCATTTAAATTACAATCAATTAATCAGTTAAGCTTAATAATGTCTTTAATTCAGTGGCACATTGAAACTGTCACAAAGTGACACTCAAAACACAAGCATAATCACTCACAGGAAAATACTTTAGTGTAATTAAAAGGCTAGTAAAATTAAAAAGTGTAATTCAGTACAGTGTTTCTCAACCACGTTTCTAGAGGATCACCAGCACTACATGTTTTTCATGTCTACTTTGCCTGCTGATGATCTGAATCAGGTGTGTTTGGTTAAGAAGGCATGCAAAATGTGCAAAGCTGGCGGTCCTCCAAGAACATGGTTGAGAGACACAGAATTTTTAATGATTAAATTGAGGCTGCACTATATTAGAGAAAAAACTGACATTGCAATATTTGTTTTTTTCTGCGATTATATTTTGAGATATAAATATAATTTCACAAAATGACCCTATTTGAAAAGAATTTCTAATTTTATATTGATTGGAATGATTTGTACAGGAGTGCATCTACATTAAATATACACAATTATACTAAATAAAATAAATAAAAGCACAATTAAAAAAAACAGAAGGATAAAAATAAAGTAAACAAATTTTTTGTGGGTTTTGATGGAGTCTAACTGTATTAGAAGTAATAAAATTCAGTAATTAAATGTAAAATAACATTGCATGGTCTTTATTATAATTAATAGTTATACATCATTAATCTTCTTTATACGTTGTACATTATACCTTCTTGTGTTCAAATGGTTTTAAATTACGTAGAAATCTTACAGTCACAGGCCTTTAAAACATCCACATAATAAAATCTTTCATATTAGATTATAGTTAAACTTTGCAACAATTCCACATATCTTGTGTTCTGAGCTGTGGTTTGTAGTTAATCCCAACTTGAAATTGAAGTTACTGCGATGCGATTATTGCAGATTCACACATTGCGATATCAATGCTGAAATGGTATATTCATTGTGTAGCACTAGATTAAATGTGCCAGTAACACTCGATGTACACACTGGCAAATACGTGAGCTATTAGTTTTTCGCACTGTATTTGTGTTATTTTCTTCTTAAAAGTGAATTAGATATTTTACTATAGGGCCAATATTAAAGAAAAATGTGATGTTTAACATGAAAAGATGTCAAATCAAGTCAAGTTGGCTCTATTGTCATTTAAACAACATACAGTGCAGTACACATTAAAACGAAACAATGTTCCTCCAGGACCAAGGTGCTACATGTAACAGCATAAATTGACAATATAACACAGGACTGTGCACTACTAAGTAGAGAAAGCAAAATTAAAAAACTTCTGAAAGTCATGGAATAAAAAATAAATATTACCATGAATAAAATAAAAATAACAGCATGTCTTCTCTACTTGGTTTCAGGGATGCGTTTTGACATGTAACCACATTGCCTAATGCGCTGAAAAGTCAGAAGTTGTGTTCATGGCAGACACACTTTTAAATTGCTCATTTATAGTAAACAGTTGAGCTGTATATTGTTATGCATTTTATTTGTGATTGTTCTGATATATTTTCTTATTTTGAATGTCAGGAAAATCTGGAGAATGCTTAAAGGTGGAGGTTTACTCAGTAATATCTGATATGTTAAAGCATGTGACATGCTTTTTGCCTACCTCTCATATTGACTAAATGCTAATTACACGTTCTGATACAGCTTTCAGAGGTAATTGAAAAACTCATTTGATTGGATTGCTTTCGTATTTGAAAGGCTTATGTGCCGGCAGCTAGCTCTCTGCAACTCTCACATTGTCACCCGCTGAAGCTAAGCAGGGCTGTGCCTGGTCAGTACCTGGATATTAGAACACATGAGAAAGCTAGGTTGCTGCCAGAAGTGGTGTTAGTAAGGCCAGCAGGGGGTGCTCAACCTGTGGTCTGTGTGGGTCCTACTGCCCCAGTATATTGATGGGGACTCTATTCTGCTCAGTGAGTGCTGTCTTTTGGATGAGAGAATAAACCGAGGTGCTGAGGTTGTCATTAAAAATCCCACGTTAGAGTTGCAGTAAGCTAGCTTACGGCGACCACTTGTCTTAGCTGACCACTTGTGAATTGATTACCAAAGAAATTGATTACAAAAAAAACACTCTTACCAGGTGGAAAAAGGGCCTATTTGTGAAAAATTGTGTTTACAGTTTTCATTATCTAATCTATTGTTGTTGTTGTTGTTTTTCCCTTCCTCGTTCAATAAAGGTGAAGAGCAAGGTAAGTTTAAGTGAACTATTTACTTATTTATTTAATGTAGTTTACTGGTAACCAGGGTGCGAATTTCAGGGGTTTGGGGCCCCCTATTTAATGCTTGATGCCCCCCTGAAGGACATCCAAACAAGATCTATGGGGTGGGGTCTGCCCTGATTTGTATCTTAAACAATATTAATAATAAAAATAATAGATTTTGCTAGTTTCAGCTTGGCGCAGGAGTCGTTTTGAGGCGTTGCGCTACGCTGTTTAAATAGCAAATGCATTAGGTCGCATATGTGCGCCCATAGGCGTTCTGGTCTAAAGAGGAAGGCATTCTGAGGCGCACTGCTGGCGCGTTGCTTATTTGAGAAACTAAAATAGATTTTTCAATAGACCAAAACAAACCCGGTCTAAACTCCGGCGCAGAGTTGCGCCTCACTTAAACACTGCTTAATACGCACAAGAGAGCAATAAGCGAATATCTTTACATATGAAAAAATGTAAATATTAAGGATATATATAGGATATAATAAGAATAGATATAGGATATAAATATAAAGGATTAAAATATTACAAAACATTATTTTCTAGCCTACATAAATATGAAAAATCACTGCTTTTATGTCTTCATCTCGGGAGGCTTTTTCAGTTCATTCATAACATTTTGCTTTTGTATAATGTTATTATTATTAGCAGTATTATTTATTATATGCATATTTATATTTGTTTTATTAAAAACAAGCTTAGATTTGCCCACCTGCAGGTTTTAGACCATATGGGGCACAGCATGTGTTTTAGGATATAACTCAGGTTTTTGAACACACTTCGATATTATTGTTCATTTATTCGTTTGCTGAAAATTAGAACTGAATTTAGAAATATTTTTGAAACGAATATTTGCGCTTAACAAATGCAATTAATTATTTATAGGCTAATTGATGTCTGTGCGTAAAGGTTTCCCTATCCAAGAGCGAATGTGAAAGTAGATAGATTATTTCTCATTCTCACGCAGTAGATGCTCTGTTTAACTGTTAAAAAAATTGTTAACTGTTTGCTAGTGAAATGCTCAGTTTTTCCACTTAGACTTACTTTACGTCCTGTAAATAGCAAATGTGCTTATGGCGCGTCGCAGCTGGCTCTTAAAGGTAATTGGAGTTGAGACTCTGATTGGTTTATTCTCAAAACACACCTATAACTCATTAAGAAAATAAACTCAACCCTTTTAGACCATGCGCCATGGCGCAAAGCGGATTTTCCCATCCTTAAAAAAGCAAAAATGCGCTCTGACATGCCCTGAAAGCGTTTGCGTCTTGCGTTTTGCGCTCTGCGCATGGACCGTCAAAATAGAGCACAACAAGTTTGATTAATAAATTAGATGCAATTGAATTAAATATATAAAGTTGGTTCAATATTAAAAAAAGAAAAAACACTGATTGTTAATGTATAATTCGCACACTGCTTGTAGCCATATGTTGTGCAACCTATTAGAAGATGCCAACTATTTTATCTTCTGCACACAGATGACACAGCGATCATGGCAGTGATGGTTGCCTTATCCTCTCTGCTGGTCATTGTCTTCATCATCATCATCCTTTACATGCTCAGGTAAGATTCCCTATTCACAAATTTCCCTAAAAATCCCTATTCCTTTTCCAAAACTCCATTTGGTACAAAAACTGCTTGCAACATTGAGAAAAACATAAAGACAAAGTCATGAGCAAGAAGCACTTAGAGCACAAGAGAACCAGCACAGTCGTAGAGAAAGTGTTGAAAAAGCTCCATTCATCAGGAAAGCCTCGTCGCCAGCAGGGGCCGCGGGCATCAATTGTCCAGTTGCCATGGTAATGATTGGCTTTTTGTTGGGCTCTGTTGTGGCAGGTTTAAGAAGTACAAGCAGGCAGGGAGCCACTCCAACTCCTTCCGCCTGACCAACGGCAGAGCTGACGACACAGGTGAGTTATTTCACCATCACTGATACGCCAATGGAGATTTTTTAATTTTAGTTTTATTTCTTTGTTTCTTTTTAATTTGTATTTTTTGTAAAAGTGTTTTAATTTTTTTTATAAAAACATGTGTACATATTGTTAACTTTGTTTTTATTTTAGTGCATCAAGTACAACGAAATGAAAACAAGAATTAATTCCTTCCATTCATTTATTCATTCATTTTCTTTTCGGCTTAGTTCCTTTATTAATATGGGGTCGCCACAGAGGAATCAACCACCTATTTATACAGCAAATGTTTTACGCAGCGCATGCCCTTCCAGCTGTAACCCATCACAGAAAAACACCCATACACTCTTACTCGCACACATACACTACGAACAATTTAGCCTACTCAATTCACCTGTACCGCACGTCTTTGGACTTGTGGAGGAAACCGGAGCACCCGGAGGAAACCCACGCGAACACAGGGAGAACATGCAAACTCCACACAGAAATGCCTGCTGACCTGGCGCTCGAATCAGCAATCTTCTTGCTGTGAGGTGACAGTGCTATCCACTACGCCACCATGCAGCCCCTATATAATTAAAAAAAAATTTATAATAATTTAATTAAAAAATATATTCAAATAACATTTTGCACAAGAAAATTTTAATTTTTTAAATATATTACGTATAAACTACTGTAATACTATAATATTACAGAATTGATTAAGATTTTAAATTAAATGAAAATGATAAATAATTTCTTGCCATGTTGATATAATATTATATTATATAAAATTTGGTCCCACTTTATATTGTGTCCTTAACTACAATATACTTGCATCAAAAAATACATACAATGTACTTACTGTGTTTATTATGTATTTGAGAACACTTGTGGTGCTTTTGAGTTGGGATAGAGGTTGGGTTATGGACAGGTTTGGTGGCATGGGTAGGTTTAAGGGTGGGTTAAGGTGTAAGGGATGGTCAACAGTGTATTTACAAATGTAATTACAAAAGTTAATTACAGATGTAATTACATACATGTATTTAATCAAGCATAAGTACACAGTAAATACATGTATTTACACAATAAGTACATTGTAACAAACTATTAATTCCTGTTTATGTACATATTAGTTAAGGCCACTAAATAGAAAGTGTGACCTACAATTTATATAAAATCATCTTTTTAGTTTTCTGTTTAGATAAACAGTTTTATAATAAATTTTTAGAATGTTTTAGAATATATAAATTATTATATATGTATTTATTTATTTATTTATTTATTAACTATATATTAATTATATTAATATATAATTTATAATATATGATTTATATTTCACATACCTGAGATTCTAAACTATTAATAATTATTTAATTTTATATTAATTTTGATAATAAAAATAATTAAATTTAGAGCAATAAAATTTATATTAGTTAGCTGTAACATTGTACTGTATATCTGTGGTTGTTTTTGGAATTATTTTTATCCCTTTTTGTATCAAATATAATAAAGTTGACATTAAAATCCATTTGATTAATAGGTTGGATTCACTACTAGCTGCAAATTAAATTTTGCATCATGATTCAGTGATTTGTAATGCATGAGAGCTTTTCTCTTTGAATTGTACTTTGTTGCCCTCTGCTGGTAATCTGCTACACAGTGGTGATAAACTGCAAGTCATTCTTAAAACTGTTTCATTGAAAAAAAAACTCCTTTTAGCTTTTGTCACTGATGGATGTGTTTCTATTTTTCTTTCTCCACCCTATGTTTTTTTTTCCTTGCACCATCTTATAGAACTCCAGAGTGTACCGTTATTGGCTCGCTCTCCAAGCACCAACAGGAAGTACCCGCCTCTTCCTGTCGACAAGCTGGAGGAGGAAATGAACCGTCGAATGGCTGACGACAATAAACTCTTCCGGGAAGAATTCAATGTAGGTGCACTAATCAACACTAAACCTTCAAGAATTAACGGATTATTATCTTGGTTTAACCATCTGTTAATTGTGCCATTTAAAGTCCCCCTGAAATCAAAATTAAAGTTATTTTTGTCAATATATTAGTCTTAAGGTAAAAAATAATCTATTATGCTCTAAAACAATCACAAAACTATGACCATTCAAAACTATATATATATATAAAACTCACTTCCACTAATAAAGATAAGCACTTGCGCTTATCAGATTTTCTGACCAATCATATTATCAGAAGCGTCCTGCCCCCAGTAGGATGCAGCTATAATGTGTCACTTGTTCACATATAACTGAGAGACCCACATACTTTATTCAGCGCATTTTACTGACGCATTTCTAAAAACAGTTCATGGAGAGAGAAAAGACAGAATGCCTACACTGTTTATTATCCTTGTTTAGCAAAAGCACACTCATTTGTTTTTGTTGTGAGTGTACACATTTACAAGTAGACACCTAACAGATTCGATTGATGTATTGATCATATCTGTACGATCAAAACTGAAAGTGTAATTTAGGTTCATTTCAGCTCAATGAGGTAAAAACTTGTCAGAACGCATATACGCGGTCTTCGACCTCAGGGGGTTAAACTAGTGAACAATTCACATTCTTGTCCAGGACAATTTTGAAAAAGCATTTTTGATTCACTTCAAATGTTGACTACTCTAGACTATTGCTACACTTTCTTTGCCTTTGAAAAAAATAGTAATTTTGACCAAACTTGAGGCAGATTTAAGGCTGTCTTTTACTTCTGCGTCAAGTGTATGCATATGCTCCACCGCAGCCTTCGCATAGCATTTGCCGTGGCTGACGCCGATGCTGGCGCTGCGCACCTGATACACGTCACAATGATGCATGGCACAAGCCCTGTGATTGGTCTGCTTGGTAGCTGTGACGAGTGTGGGCAAGTTCTATAGCTGCGTGAACTTGTTGGAGTAAGTGTTTTACAAATGTCAAGTCAAGGAGCTTCAGTTGGAAACTGTTATTTTGTGTTTACCTTACTATTGACGTTGCGTCCGCCGGTTTTAGCTACTTGTAGCGTTCAGAAAAACAAAATACCCACAAAGAAACATGACACAGAGGAACATAAAAACCTACCGTCAGCTAGCGTTTGGGAAGTGTTATTGCAGAGCAACACAAACAGCAAGCAGAAGTACAAATGCATGGCTACACGCAAGGCAGGCGCCATGGGTCACGCAGATCACTGAACGCAGAAGTATAAATCAGCCTTTAATTCCATTGAAATCTTTCACAAATTGACTGGGAAATGACCATTATACAAAGATTTAAATAATTAGCTGTAACATTATTCAAACAAACAAAACAATAATAATGCATAAAATAACAAAAATAAATCAACACACAGTGTAAGCATATCAGAAATTAACTTTGTTAGTGTTTAAATAAAACCATATTCTTTAAACAGATCATATAATTTTTTGCCTTCTTATTCTTTATTATTTTTAAAGGCTCTCTATAGATGGTAAACTCCTTTTTAAAGGAGGTGCTTGTTTCAATTGAGGTGCTAGTTTCAAGATCTTGTATTCATAAATGATGAATTTAAGTAAAACAAGTAAAAAAAATTGCAGTGAATTTGTAAATTGCACCATTTGTAAATTTCACTTGTCCCAACATATAGATGAAAGCATCGAAATGTATTGTTTTATCCAGCTACCCACATCAAACCAAAAAGAACTATTGCTACACCCTCAGTGACTCTGATTAGCATAGACCAAATGCTATTGGCTGTTTTTGTTTTAAAGAAGAGGAGCTACTCAATATATCTCACCCTCTATTCATATCTAAACTGCGCAAAAGTTCATATTCAGGGGCCTTTAAAATACAAGTTTCCTTTAATATAGTGCACTTTTATTAGTGTAAATCTCTCTGTTATGTTCTCATGATCTTTGAGGATTTGTCTGTTCTCTGCAGGCGCTGCCAGTGTGTCCCATTCAAGCCTCATGTGATGCCGCCTCCAAGGAGGAGAATAAGGAGAAGAACAGATATGTCAACATCCTGCCCTGTAAGACTTTCCCATATTCATCTCTGAACCAAAGCTGACAAAGCACACTTTTAGTAGAAGTACATACTACAATGAACATCACTGTGTGAAAATAACTAATAAAAGTAGTATTAATACTGTGAGTCTTAACCTTGCATAATTAATTTGTCATTTTTTTCTTTTCTCTTCTGTCTTTTGCTGTTTTTCACACTTTTCCTCCTCAGATGATCATTCTAGAGTTCATTTGACCTCTCTGGAGGGTGTTCCTGACTCAGACTATATCAACGCTTCCTACATAAATGTAAGACAGTGCTGACATACTTTTAAGTTTCCTAATAATAGTCTATTTTTATTTTTTTTTTGTATATTGTTTATATTGACTTTTTATATCAAATCTTAATGTAGTTTTAGTCATTTATTATTATTATTATTATTATTATTATTAATATTATTATTATTATTATTGGTAAATGTCTATATAGTAGTGCTGGGCAAAAATTAATTAATCCAAAATAAAAGACATAATGTGTACTGTAAATATTTATATTGGTACTATAAATACAGTATTGAAGTCTGCACTGCACACTCACAGTTTTAAAGAATTTTGGTGTGTTAATTTTGTTAATAATCTCATTGAGAAGGTCATCATTCGCAATCAAACAATTATGACTTTAAATAGCTTTATTTTACATTCTTATGAGGTACAAAACAAAGATGTTTCGCCACAATGTCTGCCTCACTGCGTGACACAATCTTCTCACTCCACCCTCTTATATAAGAGGGTGGAGTGAGTTTAAATAAATACACACATGCATGCATATATTTAAGAAAATGATTATTAATATTTAGCTATAAAATCTACAAGCATTTGATAGACAGTAGATAGAAATTGAAATATCAATGTAACAAATTATTTTTGTTTAGTTTTGTTTCTATATATATATATATATGTGTGTGTGTGTGTGTGTGTGTGTGTGTGTGTGTGTGTGTGTGTGTGTGTGTGTGTGTGTGTGTGTGTGTGTGTGTGTGTGTGTGTGTGTGTGTGTGTGTGTGTGTGTGTGTAACATATACATAATACATATACACACTTTGTTAGATACACCTGTCCAACAGTGAATGCAAATGTCTAATCAGCAACTTAATGCATTACGGCATGTAGACATGGTCAAGACAATCTGCTGCAGTACAAACTGAGCATCAGAATGGAGAAGAAAGGTGATTTAAGTCACTTTGAACGTGGCATGGTTGTTGGTTCCAGATGGGCTGGTCTGAGTATTTCAGAAACTGCTGATCTCTACTGGGTTTTTCACGCACAACCATCTCTAGGGTTTACAGAGAATGGTCAGAAAAAGAGAAAATATCCAGTGATCAGCAGTTCTGTGGGTGCAAATGCCTTGTTGATGCCAGAGTTCAGAGGAGAATGGCCAGAGTGGTTCAAGCTGATCGAAAGGCAACAGTAACTCAAATAAGCCCTCGTTAGAACCGAGGTGTGCAGAAGAGCATTTCTGAACGCACAACACAATTAACCTTAAGGTGCATGGGCTACAGCAGCAGAAGACCACACCGGGTGCTAATCCTGTCAGATAAGAATAGGAAACTGAGGCTACAGTTCACTCAAGATCACCAAAATCGAACAATAGAAATCGGAAAAATTGATTCGCATCATGGATTTTGAGCTGACAAATCTGCAGCAACTGGGTGATGCTATCATGTCAATATAGACCAATATCTCTGAGTAATATTTCTAGTATCTTGTTGAATCTATGCAACAAAGGATTATAAGGCAGTTCTAAGGGCAAAAGGGGACCAACCCAATAGTAGTGTGTACCTAATAAAGTGGCCGGTAAGTGTGTAATACAAACACATTCGCATTTTATGAGAATAATATTTGCCCAGCACTACGATTTAGTTTTTATTAGTTTTAATTGGACATAATCAACTAAAATAACTAGAAATATTTTCTGTGCCTGTTAATGTTGATCATGCATGCTTAAATCCTTAATAATATTTGTTGAATTATATTTAATTCGAAGTCACTTTTTCATGCTTTTTGCTTTATCATCAGGGATACCAGGAGAAAAACAAATTCATTGCTGCACAAGGTACAAATCACTTTAATAAAAATCAGGGTAACACTTTATTTGATGGTCCCTATTGCACATTTTGTTGGCTAAATGTTGCATTGCAACTACATGCCAGTTACCTCTCATTTGAGTATTAGTAGACTGTCTGCTTAATATCTGTTGATACCACTTCAACGCGTTTAACTGACTATAAGAAAGTTTGCAAGTACACGTCAACTTACATGAACAATAACCCCAACCCAAACCTAACAGTTTACTTTTAATCTGCTGAGAATTAGTAGGCATGTAGATGCAATGTAACCTAAATTCAACAAAATGTGTTAAAGGAACCATCAAAATTAAGTGATATCAAAATCAGTTCTGTTAAACTTCACAAACATTTATTATTATTATTGTTGTTTATTTTTTTTAAACAATTGTTAACTGAAGATTTGTGATTGCAGGACCAAAAGAAGAGACAGTCAATGACTACTGGAGGATGATCTGGGAGCAAAACACTGCCACCATCGTCATGGTCACCAATCTGAAGGAGCGGAAAGAGGTAAACGCCGCAACAAATGTATTCGCTGTGATCTAGTGTCAAATAAGCGTAAGCTGATCCTGTGATTTTTACGGCCTCGGCTCGTCTCACATAATGGATTTAGAGTGCAACTTCCAGAATGATGGCCATTAATAAAGATGTATGATGATTGTGATAGACTGTGCTTCATGTCCGCAGTGTAAATGTGCTCAATACTGGCCTGACCAGGGATGCTGGACTTACGGAAACATCCGCGTGTCGGTAGAGGACACGATGATCTTGGTTGACTACACCATCCGGAAGTTCTGCATTCAGCAGGTAAAACTTAATGAAAATCATCATGAGAGTTGTGTTTACATGCACATTCCTAACCAAACTAAGGGTTTAAGCATAAGCTAATCATCCTAGCTAGATTTTTGCACTTTATACTCTTTTCGGCCTGAATGTAAGCTTTTAATAATCAAATATATATAATAAAATATATGATTATGATATAATATTGTGTACTAATAAAATATTAGTGAATTTAGGCTGTATATTTTAGTGTTATTTATATACTCAGTGTGCTCGAGGGGTCTTTAAATGTCTTACATTTCAAAAATAAAATTTTAACCATTAAAAATTGTTCTATTCAACGAAATATAGTCTTGTAGGTCTTAAATCAATTTTAACAGAGCTTAAATTTCTTGTCCATGTCCATGTAAAGCTACCCAATCAGGTCAACACCCATCCAATCACCAACAAAACTCTATTTACTAATATGTTTTTTCTTCCTTACAATACTATTTGTTTAAAAGTTCTCCATGTATTTATAGACCATCTACTATATGGTAAAGATATTAGCCTCTTTCACACATACAGTCCTTTCTCAGATCATTTGTGAACAGGCCCTTTTTGAAGATACCGTAAATTAATTCCAGCAATTTTCTGGAAAGAGAAGTTATAACATTATCGGTAATTTGCTGCTTTGTGTGAATGCAGAAGGAAAATTGTCAGAAAGAGCATGTTCACGATTAGAACGCGATGATGTGAGACATCTGCTCCAGCCAATCAGAACAGTCAATCAACTTCACATCTTATGAAAATAAAAATAATACTTATTCATCCACAGAATTTGTAATGTCGTCAAATGTATAAAGATTTAGTTGCGGTTTGCGCATCTGCCTATGGATGTCTCTGGGACAAAGCACCTGCATGAATGGTAAAGATTTTAAATAAAAGCATCAACAATAGCCCGACCACTTATGTTTACATATACAAGCGCAGCCATTTAGAGGCCATTTCTGGTTAATGATTTCAGAATTTACTGGTATCTTGGAATGGATGTGTGAATGGTCTTTTCTGGAAAAATTCCAGAACCTTCTTGCCTGTGTGAACAGCCTTTTAAAGTCGGTAAAGTCGTACCGGTAATTTTCCGGATATTTAAAGATGTCAATGTGTGAAAGGGGCTATTGACCTGGACAGACTTAGTTTATTTGTTTTAATTCGTTATATTTTATGTATGTATACAACTAGTGTTATTTTGTTATGACATGTTGTTTAAAACATGTTGCTAAGAAATATCTTCTATCCCAAACAGGCCACTAGAAAAATCTTTAGTGTTTATCCCTGGATAAGTCTGAAATTTCATTCATAATGGCCTTTAAAAGTGCCATTGTGACTCTGTAAAATGTGCAGATATATTTTAAACAATCTTTAATTTTTAAGAATTAATGTTTGTTTTTAATTTTGAGATAACGTATATTGGTTTTGGTTTTCAGTTGTTCTATTTAGCTGCTTTTTTAACCCTAGTTTTCTATTTATGTTTAATATATATTTATTTTTTTAACTTTAACTTTTTCGCACTAAAAGTTGTTTTTTTTTTCAAGTTATATATTTCTATTTATTTATTTCTATTGTTTAGATGACAAAAAGTTAAGTAGATGATTTGGCACATAAAAATCCTGAATCTGCTTTTTGTCAATTTGTTGAGGTTCATCTGTGGTATATGTAACAGACCTTTACTGCTCATTAAAGCTCGTTCCAATATGTGGGAGATATCCAGCTTTCTTAACCCCAAGAATTAAAAAAAGCAGTATCATCAACATATTGTGGGTCATTTTAATAAGGCGATTTTTTCCCTCAGTATATTGGTGTAAATGTAAACCTGCTCAGTGACAATAGTAAGAAGTTCTAGCTCCCTCTTGTGTCAAAATGAGCCTTTCCTTAATTATAATGAGAAAGTGTGTAATAGCTGTTCTAATAAGCAGTGAGTTATCGTTGAACTGTGTGTGATTGTGAGCTCTTTTGTGTGTTCAGGTGGGGGATGTTTCCGGTAAGAAGCCTCAGAGGCTGGTCACACAGTTTCATTTCACCAGCTGGCCTGATTTCGGGGTTCCTTTCACTCCGATTGGCATGCTGAAGTTCCTGAAAAAGGTCAAGAACTGCAACCCACAGTATGCTGGACCCATAGTGGTTCACTGCAGGTAAATAAGCTTTACTGTCCACTGTGAATGAGTAAAACAGAGAATACGCTACTTTTCATATAGTTGTATCTTAGTCAAATATTGTCCCATCTTAAAAGCCATACATCTATGGAAAGCCTATTTAAACTTTCAGATATTGTATAATTGTTCGTTTCTAAAACTAGTTTTATAATCATATATATATATATATATATATGTGTGTGTGTGTGTGTGTATATATATATATATATATATATATATATATATATATATATATATATATGTACGTATGTATATATATATATATATATATATATATATATATATATATATATATGTATATATGTGTGTATGTATGTATGTATGTATGTATGTATGTATGTGTATATATATATATATATATATATATATATATATATATATATATATATATATATATATAAAATATCATATTATTTTGCAATATAAAACTCATTGACCCTAGACTTTTTGAATAGAAGTATTTGTTCTTTTGCTTTTTGAAGGTCTATGATTTGCAATAACCAATTGTCATCTGTTGTTCTCAGTGCGGGTGTTGGCAGGACGGGCACCTTTATCGTGATAGATGCAATGCTGGACATGATGGGTGCAGAGAGAAAGGTGGACGTTTTCGGGTTTGTGACACGGATCAGAGCCCAGCGCTGTCAGATGGTTCAGACCGATGTGAGTTCAAGCAAAACCAAAAGTCTTATTACATTTTTTTGGGGACTCGAATTCTAATCTCCCAGCTTTCCTTTGTCCCTACAGATGCAGTATGTGTTTATTTTCCAAGCTTTGCTGGAGCACTACCTGTACGGCGACACGGAGCTGGAAGTGACGTCTCTGGAGACTCACATGAATAAACTCTACGCTCCTTTACCTGGAGCTGGCTGTGGAGGCCTGGAGGCAGAGTTTAAGGTAATTTGCTCTGTTTGGTTTCTGGTTGGTTCATCACTCCCATGTTAAAATATTATGTTTTATTTATTGTATTTTTGATCTGTTTATAGAAACTTACCTCCATTAAAATCCAGAATGACAAGATGAGAACAGGAAACCTGCCTGCCAACATGAAGAAGAATCGTGTTTTGCAAATCATTCCATGTAAGCTGTCAATCCAACAATACTAATAGCAAGATGATGCGGATGATTTCATTAGCTTAAATATGTTTAGGGTCAATAATGTTTAGAGATTTAGAAGGACATTGATAGTTTTATTTAACAGACATGCATTTAATTGATCTGAAGTGATAGTGAAGACATTGAAATTATAATTGAATTTTGTATTTAATTAGTATTCTGAAAAAAATATTATTTTTAACATTCTCAATTGTTGCAACTTTATAGTTTAGCGCTAAGGGTTAAAGAGGGAAGGTTTTGATGTGACCTTGTGAGTTTGTAGAGCCGGTGGCAAAATAGCAAAACGACAACCAAATAATATAAAAAGTGTATTCATTTACAAAAGTGAAAAGAAGTCAAACAGCAAAAATATTATGTACAAGTTGGAATCTCACAAAAGAAAATAAATTAATGTATGTTATTAAGGAAAAAGAGGATTTAAAGTAGTGCCAAAAAAAAGAAAGCAATATAACAAAAAACTAGCTGAAAAAGACCCTTTAATCCACTTAACAGAAAATAAACAAACAGAACATCTTCAGTGTTGGCAGCATGCATTTCTAAACTACACTTCTGACCAAAATATATGTACAGCGAGTGCAGCTTACTTCTAAACTGATGTGTTTACACAGTGGAGTTTTCTGCATGTTGTGAGGTCCATGTCACGTGACATCTAAACTCTTCGATTCCCAGTGGAATTCAGAACCAATGATCAGAGATTGTGAAATAAGTACACAAAAGACGGTAACAACATACTAAAACAACAACAAAATTCAAACTTTAAAGTCACATCAACAAAATTGCACACAACACAAGCCAAAACAAAGAGCAAAAAGGCAAGCAAGACAAAAGCAAGAACAGGCTTCCTCGCTCGCGTCCCTTTGGGCTTTCATCCTAATTGGCAGCAGAGGTGAATATGTCACGTGGAGGACAATGGCGTAGAATAAAACATGAAAGTATCTAGAGTTTGTGTCACAAACCTTATACAAGCGATTTAACTGAAATACCATTGAAAAAAAAAACATTGACTTTGGGATAAGGGAACCGGAACTGCTAAAATGCTAACTTGTTTCCGGGTTTTTACATACAAATTGACGTCATAGTTCCTCCTCTCTTTGAAGATTGACGTCTTCACAGATGAATGGGCGATCCTAAGAATTTTGACAGAAAAAATACTGTACATAGGGCTGCAACAACATTAATAATTAATGTTTTTTAAATACTTAATCAAAACATTAAAATAATCTCTAAAAGGTCATGTGACAGTGAATCCTTTCTTTGACATCAGAGAAATAAATTATAGTTATATACAATTATATAATATAATTATATGCATTCAAAGTAATTATAATTATATATATATATATATATATATATATATATATATATATATATATATATATATATATATATATATATATATTATACATTTTTTTTATTATTTATTGATTTTAAATGTACAAAATACCTACAGTTGTATTTGAATGAACAATCTTTTTAAATCATAAAAGTATTTTTTTTTTTTTTTTGAAATCCAAAAAATCCAGTCAATTTAAGGTGTACAGTTTATCTTGCCTGAGTTCTCTCTGAACTTTCCTTCTATTTTATTTCCAGATGAGTTTAACAGAGTGATCATCCCTGTAAAACGTGGAGAGGAGAACACGGATTACATCAACGCCTCTTTTATAGATGTGAGTAAAACCTCAGCCAACATTTATTTCCAACTAACCGAAGTACCACTCACTGAACCCTAACAGTAATGCTGCAATGTTCCACGCTCCATTGAGAGACCACACAGTGTGCTGCGCTTTCTTTTAGGAGTGGTTTAAACACACATTTTTCAGTCATCAAGTTAAATGGACGCCCATGTTGAGATTTGCAGCCTGGGATGGTGATTGTTTCAGAATATTTTGATTCTAGACAGAAAGGTTGATTTGATTATCATTAATATACCTTTTTCAACCTATATGAGTTTATGTAGATTTTAACAAATCAGCTCCCGAAAGACTGCGATTTTGAGTTGAGAATTAAAAAATTGGTCATATTTTTGTTACAAAAACTCATCAATCCACTTCCCTAAGATCCTAAGACATGCATAACCCCCTGTTGGCATATGGGTTAGTTTTGTTATGGATTTATGAAGCTTTTAGAAGCTTTTAAAAAGGAACACTACCCAACACCATTATACAGCTTAGAAAACCCAGGATAATGTTTAAAACTACTCTGACTGTGTTTATCTGAAAGAAGAAAGCCAGAAACACTGAAATTGGCCTAAGGGTGAGTAAATTATGGGCTCATTTTAATTTTTGGGGTGAACTACCTCTTTATTCGGCGGTCATTCACCTCATGTGCTCATGACTAGGGTTGGGTATCCTTTGGTTTTCTTTCGATACTGGTGCTAAATCGATCATTTTAAACAGTGCCTGAACTGATACCTTTTAGCCACAAAAATAATTAATCGACCAAAAAATGAATAAATTTGTATATGTGTGTATTTGTATGTGTATGTGTATATGTATGTGTATGTATATGTATATATGTAACCTGTATATATATATATATATATATGTGTGTGTGTGTGTGTGTGTGTGTGTGTGTGTGTGTGTGTGTGTGTGTGTGTGTGTGTGTGTGTGTAAAATCCCAATAGGTATCTTATCTACACACATATTTTTTTATCATTGTAATTGAACTATATAAATATATATTTATAATACATTTAAAGTAAACATCAATTCATATTATATATATTTGAACTGCATTAATATATTTCTTTTGATCATTTGTTTGTTAGCATAAATGCAAGATTTGCATTATGCTATTAACATTACATTAGCTTACTACTAACCTGTGGAAAGGCCATCATCAAAATCAGGGAACACCTTTTTTCTGGATTTGGGGCTTGTGGCTACTTTTACATAGACATCAGTGATCTAATGATTTGCCTTAATCTGAATAAGACATATGATTCAGGTGTTTACATGAATTGCTTTTTGAATGTTACATTCACGATTCCCAATTACATGTTCTAGCACATAGAAGATCAGTAACATCATTGTGTCACCAGCCTAATGTTTACTCCGCAATTTGTGTCTGTGATCCTTTAAGATAATCAAACATCACTGTTTACATAGTAGACTCGTGATCAGAGTATTGTCTTAATCATATTAAAATTAGAGTATTGGTGTCCATGTTAACCTCCTTTGGATGAGACATTAAACTAGGGTCCTGACTCTCTGTTGTCATTATAAATCCCAGTATGTCTTTAAAAAAAAAAGAAGCAGTGGTTTAACCTCGGCATCCTGGCCAAATTTGCCCACTGGCCTCTGTCCATCATGGCTTCCTAACCATTCCCATATCATAATTGGCTTCATCACTCTGTATCCTCTCCAACCAAATCAGCTGGTTTGTGGTGTGGGGTCTGGCACAATATGGCTGCTGTCACATCATGCAGGTGGATGCTGCACACTGGTGGTGAATGAGGAGATTCCTCCAATGTGTAAAGTGCTTTGAGTGTTTAGAAAAGTGCTATATAAATGTAAGGAATTAATTATTCGCATTAACCTTAAACTTATGAGTCCAAAACCACTTTAATCAATCGTGTAACTTTGTTTTGGGCAATGTGATAATATTGTATAGCATAATAACAGGTTTAGCTATTATTATGCAATGAAAATGTCATACTGTCACATGCCTTGTTCTTTAACATAATTGATTAATGTCTACTGTATCCAAATGTGTGAAATATGTTTTTTGTCCTCGCATGTCTACAGGGTTACAGGCAGAAAGACTCGTACATGGCGTGTCAGGGGCCGCTCCAGCACACCATCGAGGACTACTGGAGGATGATCTGGGAGTGGAGGAGCTGCTCTATCGTTATGCTGACCGAGCTGGAGGAGAGAGGACAGGTAAAGTCAACTTATTACTGTCTTTCTGTTTGGGGAATTTGATCATGTCATTGCCTTATTGGTTAAAAACTCATTGAAATGATGTTTTCTGGAATGCAGCAATTCCAGATTGTAGTGCATATAGTGATATTGTAAAATATTTACTTTAGTGTGTGATATGACTAAACTGTGCTTGTGACTATTGTGATTGATTTTCTCAGTTCAGATGAGTTAAACATGGAAAATCTTTCCATCTATCAAAATGTAAGCACATAACTCATCTGTTTTCCGTGTGTTTTTTCATTATCTGCAGGAGAAGTGTGCTCAGTATTGGCCTACAGATGGTGTGATGGTTTGTGGAGACATGTCCATCGAGCTGAAGAGGGAGGAGGAAAGTGAGAGCTACACTGTTAGGGACCTTCTAGTCACCAATAACAGAGTGAGTCTACATTAGAGGAAACAACTAATATTTGTGCTTTTCTCTTGTCTTTGTATTAGTTTAATTGGCATTCTTTTTCTCTGCAGGAAAATAAGTCTCGCGCTGTGAGGCAGTTTCATTTCCACGGCTGGCCTGAGGTGGGCATCCCGTCTGATGGGAAGGGCATGATCAACATCATCGCTGCAGTTCAGAAGCAGCAGCAACAGTCTGGAAACCACCCAATCACTGTGCACTGCAGGTAAGCTACGCCTCACCCTCTAGTGAATCTGCAGCATCAAAACCTGAAATACTTCTATAGTTTGTAGTAAGATTTTATTATCAGGACAATATTTTTATGTCTTTCACCATAAGCATATGCATGTATGTGTGTGTATATACAGTTGAAGTCAGAATTATTAGCCCCCCTGTTTATTTTTTTTTCCCAAATTTCTGTTTGAAAGAGAGAAGATTTTTTCAACACATTTCTAAACATAATAGTTTTAATAACTCATCTCTGATAACTGATTTATTTTGTCTTTGCCATGATGACAGTAAATAATATTTGACTTGATATTTTTCAAGACACTTTTATACAGCTTAAAGTGACATTTAAAGGGTTAATTAGGTTAACTAGGCAGGTTAGGGTAATTAGGCAAGTTATTGTATAAGGATAGTTTGTTCTGTAGGCTATCGAAAAAAGCTTATAGGGGCTAATTTCGACCTTGAAATGGTTTCTTAAAAAAACAAAAAACTGCTTTTATTCTAGCCAAAATAAAACAAATAAGACTTTCTCCAGAAGGAAAAATATTATCAGACATACTATGAACATTTCCTTGCTCTGTTAAACACCATTTGGGAAACATTTAAAAAAGGGGGAAAAACCAGGAAACACTGTATATATTTTTTTCAATTCAACATATATAGTATTTGCAATTTTTGCATACTGAAAAACTCATGGTCATATTTTTTCAGGATTCATTTAATAATAGAAAGTTCAAAATGCTTTTAATTAGAGCAAAATAGCTATATAGATGTCTTTCCTGTTTCTTGTGATCATTTTATTGTATATTTGCTAAAAATAATGATAATGAAAATTCCCTTATTAACTGTATCATGTGTTTAACTTGACTGTTGCTGTTTTCCAAGGGGATCTGATAAAACAAAAGCAGGAAATAACAAGTTATTTAATGAATTATTGTGTTTGTTAAACTACTCAACTTAATAGACAAGTAGTTATTCAGCCCAGCCATAAATCTTGCGCGCTTGTACAGGATATTTTAGTTAGACAGGAAAGCCAACTTTAACACTGTCTTACTGGTTTGGCAGCCTAAGCAAGGTTTTGTGGTTTTTATAATGCCGGATAGAGTCCTTGTGTGCTTGGTATACTATGGCTTAACCCAAACCTGCCCGTAATTACATATTCAATGATGAAACACAGATGGAGTCCCTGTGCCCACTGGGTTTTCAGGGTCAGCCAATTAAGGGAAGGAAAAGTAGGAACTTGTCTCATTAATATCCGCAGAGCTGTGGGTAATTGATGTTTTTGTGTGAACAGTGCTGGTGCAGGACGCACTGGGACATTCTGTGCTCTCAGCACAGTCCTGGAGCGGGTGAAGGCAGAGGGCATTCTGGACGTTTTCCAGACAGTGAAGAGTCTAAGACTACAGAGACCGCACATGGTGCAGACACTGGTGAGAAAATACATCTCTCGTGCTCCACTGACCCACTGAACTAGAACCACAAAGTGCAGTTGCATTGTTTGAACAAATTAGCTTTTATTAGTCATAAAAAGTAGGAGATTTGAAGAAAGTGTATTAGTGATTTTCTTTTAAAAAATTCTGTTTAAAATGTTTTATTACTATATGAAACCATAAATAAGAAACATTACTGTTAATTTTGATTAATTTATTAAAAGTATTAAAATGATCATCTTTGTTTGTGTGACCACATTTTATAAGCTAGCATATACCTAATGCTCAGTATCTACAGTATGTGCTGCTGCTAACTACATATTTTATTAGAAGGCAGCCCTAAAAATCCCAATAGGTATCTTATTTAAATAATCCGCTTGTTAAGTGGTGACGTGTTGGTGACGTATGTAATACTGTTTCCAGGTTAAAGCCGCCATTCATTTGAGTTGAGAAATCATTCGTTTATGATCTCCTTTTTTTCATATCACACATTAACGTTAATTTTACATAAAGTCATAGTGTACACAACAATCTCTGGGCTTGTTGCATACCAAATACCAATTTATTTACAATTTATAAAAAAATTAATAACTTTCTGGTCATTGAATATTAGGCATGGACATGTATATTGCGATGGTAATTTTCGAAAGTATTCAATCGCTTTGTAAACGATTATTATTACCATTTCATGAGTCTCCCCATTCAGTTGAATAGAGCGATTGGACCCAAAAGCAGCTTCGCCAACATCACACTTAACAAGCGGATTTGGCTTAATTTTTGTCATTTTAAGCTTCAAAAAAAAAAAGTAAAAAAATTCAAAATTTAAACCTCCAATCTTTTATATTGGACCAAAACCCCCAGGAGACCAATAAAAACTGCTGGTTTACAAAACCAGTTTTAAAAGATTGTTGGTGTGTGTTTTATGTTCATAAATGCAGATTATGTTCCTCTCAGTGTTGTGATGTTTACTATGAACCGGGTTGCTAGGAGACATTGAAAACACTGGCTTGTGAGAGCTGCTTAAATCATGTAACTTGCATGTTTTGGTTTTTGGGGGTCTCCAACAACAGACTGATATGCATGCAAGGTCAAAAAACACTTTCATTATCTTATAATATGCATTTATTTTTACCTAATTATCCCAACGACTCCAATATGATTTGTTCAGCAATTCATTTGTACCCAAAGCCCTCTTAGCGAGATGCTAATCTGCTCTGATTGGTCCGATGACCCAGTCTGTTACGCTTATCAACATTGTTGAAGTAGTCAGAGTGCAAGAGTGTATGTGTGAGCCCAGTTGTCATTATAAACAGTTAAACACTAGCATATTACTCTATTCTTAACCATAAGTAAAAACAGTGACACACATTCAGTATTAATCCACACAGTGGCAAAGGCTGAACTGTTTTAAACCTTGATTTGAGTTGAGTGTAGAAACAGCTGATGATGGCCTTAGCAATGATAAATGGCAGAGAATCGTGAGCTCACAAACACTTTAAATCTGTAAACAAAGGCTTACAGGTCAAATTTTTAACATGGTTTTAGACGTGATATGTGAACATAACGAGTACAGGCCACATGATGCGATTACAAGTAACAAAACACAATTAAATACATATTTTGCAAGCTGGAGAAAACAAGGAGGCAACCATTTTAATCGCACTTACTTACACTCGTGAAATGGAGGAAGAAACTGATCCATGAACTGTGTGCTGTAAAGCTCCTGTCAAGATCTGACAAAGTACCATACATCAACAGTTTTTCTGATCCTTCCTTTAACAAACGGCTGACGAAACCCGGTGCAGGGTAGATTACTGCATTAATCACAACAACGTTCACTCATTATTGTTCACTCATCTTCAGTCATGATCAGTCTCTCACACACACACACACACACACACACACACACACACACACACACACACACACACACACGTTCACGTTTTACCGGGTCTGGCACAGAACATATTGGATATTGTTTCGTGTTGATGTTGATACGAACAGGCAAAAGATCCGGACAAATCATTTAAACGACTCTGAGTCGAATCTTTTTATTAAAAAATCTATATTTTCAAACATGCTGCACTTTCAGATTTAAACATAAGCTGGATTTTTTCATTCACTTAGAGCTGTGTTGCACACTGCATGGAAGGTCATTTTCAAAAACCTGTAATAGGGGATCTTTAAGAACCGCTTTTATTGATGTAAATTGCAGCCTTTTTAATTTGATGATTAAACAAGGCCATTGAGTTTCATTCCTGTCACTTTTAGAAATTTAAATCTCTACTTTTTGCACAATAGTCATTTTTCTTGTCCATGCTGCCAGATTTATAAAGCACCAGCAAAAGAATGCAGGCAGACTATTGGCCTATTATTACATCAGCTAATTAATATTCATGAACCAAGCTTTTAAGGTTTTTGCCTTGTTTTGTTTTTAATACTAAAATCCCAAGCTCTGTTCAGCTCACATTGTCCTGCTTTTGCCCACAGGAGCAGTACGAGTTCTGCTACAAAGTGGTCCAGGAATACATCGATGCCTTCTCTGACTACGCCAACTTTAAGTAAAGCCACGGTCACCAGACTTTACCAGTCTTGCACTCACGTCCACACTTTCACCTAAACACAGCTAAACGAGACAGACTGCCAGCGCAAAGCAAAAGGGAACGCAAAAATCCTTTGGCCGGCAACCACAAGAACATGATGCCGAAAGTGAAAAACAAAAACAAAGCAAACACCATTAGAGATGCCTTCTTGAATATTTTGTAATATTGCTCTTGTTAATACGGCCCTTTCCCATTTTTCTCAGTGTAAATATGCTCTTGTTTTTATTTTTATTTTTTTTGGTTTTAGAAGCTGTTTCATTGCGGCTTTTAGAGTGACCTTAATATAGTTTACTGGTATATAAATACATACATGAATATTTTAAAACGGCGCTTTGGAGACAGACGTTAAAAGAGAGGTAGCAAGTTGAGGGTGCTTTTCACTGGGTGTTTTACAAAACAAAAAACCTTCTTTTTCTGCAGTTAAGTGACTGACAACTATTTAAATGGCAGCTCAATCCCTCTTTGCTGTTGCCTGTAGCTACGTAGCGCACAAAGTGACTAATTGGAACCAATCACGGTGCATTAGGCACAGTAATCGAGCGTGTTCACGATTAAAAGAAATTCACTGTGCTTTCCGATTATGTTCACTGGAGTGACAGATAACATTCTGTGTGTTTTGACACTCTCGTTGTGTCTATTTTTTTATTTAATTTTTTTACATTTTTGGGGGAAGTATGACTTAAGATTGAAGATGCTAAAACGGTCAAATGTGTTTTTAAGCTGTCGGTTTTGTTTCAATGGGTCAGAACCAATTTGTTATCCGCTTTAGTCCAAACTAGAAAATATTAGAGTAAGACTTTAAAAGAAAAGAGGATTCCCTGAGCGTTTCGATGAAAGGAAATACAGCTTTAGACTGTTCATGTTATTTCTTTTCTATCATTTTGTCCCCTCACAATGGTGTACTCTCTTCATCCTAACTTCTTTTCTAGATTACTCTAAAAGCACCTTCTGTGTTTGTGATTGTAACCAAGGAAGTGATGTGTTTACTTGCCTGGATGTCTGTTTGATTGGCCTTAACAACTGTACACTAAGCTTTCATTATGTACAGGCAGTTACTTTTCCTTCCTTCAAAGATTAATGGTCCCGCCAGGCTGACTACTGGTGCATAATAGATCCAGAAAGTTCTATTCAAATTGACACATGATCACCTGATCATCTGTTCCTGCCCGTTTGAAGGACTTCAGCCTTTGTGCTGAAGCCAGTGAGCCCTTTCCAGCTCCACTGAGCCAGTTAGATCCGTAAACATTATAGATATTAGGCCCAAAGTGGCGATGAGTGCTTTTAATTTCTCCTTTCTAAAAGAACAGGTGGATGATGGTGTAAATGAGAACATTCATCATCTGTTTAAGTTGTGAGAGTTTCACACATAGGAGACGTTATATGATGAAAGCTAAACATGTAATGCTGATTGTCATTGGATTTTTGGTGAATGTTTTCTGTAGGTTAAATGGTTGGTTCATCCCAAAGTTCAACGTCTTGCCACTCACCCTTGTGACATTCCAAACCATTTTCAAAACACAAATGAAAATGTTTTTAATCAAATCTGATTGATTTCTGTTGCATTGAAAGTCATTGAGTTTTCAAAACCAGTAACTCAAGTGGTTTAATCCAATCTTTTAAAAAGACATGAAGACTTTATAAGATATATATATATATATATATATATATATATATATATATATATATATATATATATATATATATATATATATATATATATATATATATATATATATATGTATATATATATATATATATATGTATATTTAATTTAGGTTTTAATCATATTTAAACATTTAAAATGTTTACACATTCAAATTTGGTCACCGAGACTCAATCGAGCTTGCTTGATCCTTGTTAGGGTTGTCACAATACTGGATTCATGGAACTTGGTACCAGTCGATAATACAATAAAAAAAAAAAAAGTCCATTTCCTGTTAACATTTGACCGCTGTTGAGAACGTTCGTGAGCACTAGCAAATTAACGCTTTTAACAAACATGCTCAACAGTGCTCAAATGTTCACAGGAGATTTCTGAGAACTTTCAAAGTCACATCGATCAGCTGGTTTGTCTATAAGCCTACAAAGGAGCGATTAGCTTTAAAACACACCAGTGTATCTCTGGTTACACTCAGTAAAGTGAGTTCGGTGATCTGATGACCTTCATGGCCAATCACAGTCATTTCTGTTGAGCGTGTTTAAGAACGTGCTCAACAGCGCTCAAATGTTAGCGGAAAATTGACATTTTTAAAATGTCAGATATCAGATCGCTTTCAAAGTCTCGTCGATCACCTGGTTTTTCTATAAGCTGATATAGGAGAGATCAGCTAATGAATCACAGCTCTACAACGCTCCAGTGTCCCTGTATCTGTGGTTACACTCAGTAAACAGAGGTGAGTTTGGTGTACTGATGACCTTCTTGGCCAATCACAGTCATTTCTGTTGAATGTGTTTAAGAATGTGCTCAACAGCGCTCAAATATTCACGGAAAAATAGAGGTTTTTAAAATTTCAGATTTCAGAGTGCTTTCAAAGTCGTGTTGATCACCTGGTTTGTTTATAAGCTGATATACAAGCAATCAGCTAATGAATCGCAGCTTTAAAACACTCCAGTGTCCCTGTATCTGTGTTTACACTCGGTAAACAGCTGTGAATTCAGTGAATTGATGACCTTCACGGCCAGTCACAGTCATTTCTGTTGAGCGTGTTTAAGAATGTGCTCAACAGCGCTCAAATGTTAGTGGGTTTTTAAAATGTCAGTATCGATTGGTAATGGATTCCGGTATCATGACAACACTATTGTGCATTAGGTATTTTTGTGCTTCTTTTTATTATTGGTCTTTATACATGAACAAAGGCTTAAATGCAGTATAAAGCAGTTTTTTGGTCTCTTCGGTTTAATTGAAGTTTGTGTGACTTTCAATGGAGCAACAAGACGGTGAATCAATAATGGCGGGATTCATTTCGTCGTGAACAAACCATTTAAGCTCTCAATCCACACTGCCTTGTGGTCATGTACGTTTTATGAAATGTTTTAGCTCCTAAATGTATGTAAAACCCAATGGGTGTCGCTCGAATTCACTCACCCATCGGTCATTCCATGTTAACAGGGATCTCGATGGAAACCTTTTATATATTATTTCAGATCCATGATGTTTCAGTCAATGAGTTACGGGATCTCGTATATACAGCTTCAACTTAAGATATCCCATGAAATGCTGACGGATGTGCTTGAATATTGTGTGATTAATCGACTGTTGTGATTTGCTTCGTCACACTAACCCTTTCCATATGAGACACTGTGCCAATAGCAGCCTCTCAGGGGCCGGATCCTTCTTCAGAGGTGGGAAAGTGCCTCATCACGTTCCTGTAGCTTCGAGCATATTCCCGCCTGCTCTTTTGTAGCCCACATGTCCCAATCCCACAACCGGACATCGTGGCCCGTATGGCGTATGATAATCTGTAATGGAATCAAAGCGTTTACTGGTTAGTTGCTCCCTGGTGTGTCAAGGATTTTAAGCTTTTTTTATTATTATTATTCCCTTTACATACCATATAAAACCATCCTGGAGGAAGTACCGGACTTCAGGTCAAAGCCCTCAAAACACAAGCTCTTAGTGCATGGAGAGCAATCTGATCCAAAAGGGAAGCCACGTGTTTGGAGGAATGAGGAAAAAGACTGAAAAGTAAAGGGTTGTGCTCTCCAACAATCACACTTTGAGGATTCCGTCTGAGATCTGATTGGATCGTTCCTAAATTTTCGACTGTTCCGTTAATACTAAAACGTTCCTTTTTCTGTTTTTATTCTTTCCTCTTTGTGCACCCTTCTGTACATAATGTAAGTTTATTTATATTTCATTCCTGTCTGTTGCCTTGCTTTTATTTTATTTTTATCTTTCCCTCGCTTTTATAAGATACTTGTATATTAAACTGTACTGGGACCATTTTGAAATGTATTCAATGTTTTTTTTCCCCTTGTTTTTAATTCGGTATTATTGTCTTAAAATCTTATTTTTCATTTGCATCTGTTTTTTTTTTTTTCTAGTGTTTTGTTATTCAAATTTGAATATATATGTATATATATAATTATATATATGATGCAAATTATATATAATTATATAATGCCAAACGGCCTTTCTAAACAAGATACTGTTCAAACCTAATAAAAGTGCTTGAGATTTTATCTGCTGTCTTTTTTTTTTGTAATAAATTACACTGAATAAAAAGGATTCATTGGATTTACAATTGTTGTAAGGTAAGTATTGGAAACAATTTATATGGGCTGAATAGAAACAAGTAATGCTGAACATTACTAAACTTATTTTAAAAATTCAGCCCCTAGAAACTGTCTGTAACCACTTAAATTTAGTAAATCCAAGTAATCATTTTTTTAGTGTAGTTAAACACCTAGACCTCAATCCCATTTTGGAAACAATGCAAGTTATGTGTCTGAATAACGCAGCTAAGTAACTACTATGCACCGGTTTCTGGCAACCCCTCTGATCGGATACTAAGTTGGCAATCCGGGGATGTCATAAACCAGGGGTTTCCAAACTCGGTCCTGGAGAGTTAAGCTCCAATCCTAATCAAACACACCTAAACTAGCTAATCAAGCTCTTACTAGACATACTAGAAACTTCTGGGCAGGTGTGTTGAGGCAAGTTGGAGCTAAACTTAGCAGGACAGTTTGGACTGCCCTATTATAGACTGTACCAAAAAGCTTAGACCTGGGGGGCGGTGGTGGTGGGGGGTGAAATTACGGCAGTTTTCTGGAAGAAATAAAACGAGGGTGGTGGGAGATAAGTCTGAATACTTGAGTGTTGGCAGGTATGGTTGTGCAGCAACGGCGCATCGTTGAGCATATGTCCGGCTAGTTTGTTTGGTGTCTTGCCTCTTGTCTGGAGGCTGTTGGAGAGAGTTTGCAGGATTTAGCTTGTAGCAATTGGCGTTAGGCATCTGTGAAGGAGAGCACTCTGAATGGCTGTTCAGCTTTAAATTCAAGAACAAAACCTTAAGTGACAACCACTTCACTTCCCGCCTTAAGGTACTATGCCGATCCTTCCCCTCATTCTGTTCCCCACACTTTCCTGTTTATAATCTCTATTTTTTTTTATTCATCTTTATTTCTATAGCGCTTTTACAATGTAGATTGTGTCAAAGCAGCTTAACATAGAAGTTCTAGTAGATTGAAACTGTCAATCCAGATTTCAGAGTTGAAGCTCAGATTAGTTCAGTTCAATGTGGTTTAGTTTTTACTGCTGAAAGACTAAACATTGACGATGCACAGCTTTACAACTCACAAATCAAATGGCGAGGACCAAACCTTACCAATTGATAAAAGTGAAGGAAAAAACCTTGAGACAAAACAGGACTAGATCTGGTACAGACTGCTGCCACCTATGAGATATGTCCTTTCCTGCAATCCTAGGATGCACATTCTCGTTTCAGTTAGCTGGCATCTGTTTGGCGTTTTCACATTTGGCTTTTTAGTCTTGACTGGACTAAATGCAGCATACGCAAGGCAACAACCTTGTCTTTCTTATTTTTTTTTTTTTTGTATTAGCGCTAGTTTTTTGCCATTTGTTTTGTGTGTCCTGGGCTTAACCCCCCTGATTCTACTTGCCCCATTTGGACTAATATTGAAAAGGAAGTCTCTGGCATGGTAGGTGGATTCACTAAAAAGGATGCTAAAAGGAATAGCCTCTTGAGCGTAATTACACTTGCAGTTCTAAACCTCATTGCCATCTAGTTCATGGCACCACTGTTAACCCCTCAGATTTTCATGTCCCAATGAAGAGTGTTTCAGCTCTCTGTTTTCCAGCATGAAAGGTATGCTAGCAAGGACGTTAGCATGCTTCTTGAGACCAGAGGTGTGTGGTTTACTTGCACTGTTAAAATCTCACA